CTCTGATTATGCTTCTTATATTTCTCACTGCCTAATCTGTATTTATAACTAGGCTTGGCAGCTACACATATAGGTACACTAATTATACATAAGTAGGAAATATGCTTTAGATTAGTTCTTCAAGAATTTATTGGCGGGCAGTGGAATGAAAAGCAAATGCCCTCAAAGAGTGGAAGGCGGGTGGAATGCATTACATTCTCTGAATTTTTCAGGTGGGAGTTGACTTTCCTTAGTTGACTTCACAAGCTTAACGAAGTTAAAACTTGAGAAAGTTAGCTAGGCCATGTCAGCTAAGGATCGTGGGAGATGAAACTCAATCAAACTGGAGAGCACAGGGCAGGGAAAGCTTGAATAGAAGATGCTGTGAAAAGCGGCAGGGCTAAAAGAGATTTTAAGTTGCAAGGGTTCTGATTTGTTGAAAGCATTCCACAAATTAGAAAAAGTTGTGGCTTTTCCTCCTCACAGAGACAAGGACCAATAGACAGCGTGGGAAGTTATCCATTGGCTGTGTCCTTTTACATTTGTCCTGAGCTGATAGAACTACAGTGATGTCAGCAAATGTGACTGTATATCAGTTGTGATCACTTGATAACACAGAGAAGTTACAGCAGCTGAACAAAATTCCACTTGTGGAGCTGGCTACATCGATAAAGATTCAGAAGGTGGTACCATAATTCCCAGAAGAGCTACCCTGCTCTGCTTTAATGCCATGTAAGAATTTTGGACTGGCTAGATAGTTCAGTGGTTTAGGTATTTGGCTGCAGAGCCAGAACTTGGGGGTTGAATTCCTCATGGTGCCTTGAGGGAGAGGAGCCAACCTGTGTTGCTATGGACAAGCTGCAGAGTCCCACAATGCCCCCAGAAAAGGGGAATGGTATACAGTGGTGCCTCGCGTAGCGATCAGTGTTGCTATGGACAAGCTGCAGAGTCCCATGATGCCCCCAGAAAAGGAGAATGGTATACAGTGGTGCCTCGCATAGCGATCGCTCCGTATAGCAATGAAATCACTTTGCGATAGACTTTTTGCCATCGCAAAAGCGATCGCTTAGCGATGGTCCCTATGGGGAAAATTAGCTTTGTGATGATCACAGGGAAGCGATCATCGCAAAGCCCCCATTTTCGGCCAGCTGATCAGCGGTTCCAAAATGGCCGCCCGCCGTTTTGCCTCGCTTTAGAGGCACCGAAAATGGCTGCCACAATGGAGGATTTTCACATAAGGTTAGTTTTTAAGCCCATAGGAACACATTAAACGTTTTAATGTGTTTCTATGGGCTTTTTAAAATCGCTTAGCGATGAAATCGCTTAGCAGTGATTTTTGCTGCACCGATTAACATCGCTAAGCAAGGCACCACTGTACTATTTCTGTGTATTCCCTACTTATAAAACTCTGGAAAGGGTCACCATAAGTCAGATTTGACTTAACGACATGCAATTATTTATTAATGATTTTGGACACCTGAACATAATGTTGGGATTAATAGGTGTTGTCAGCATTGGTTGGGGTCCAACAAAAATGCCAAGGAGCTACTATTTTGAACTATATGGAACCCCCAATCAGTTCCTGCACGGCCATGTTCTGTGCTCTCCGCATGCCGTGATAGCATTGCTGGCAAGGCATCTTTGTGCTACACATCCGTTTGCTGGACCAGTAATTCCAAGGATCAGACTATAAGGACATTTGGCATCACAGCTTAAAGGATTTCCAGCCTGAAGCTTTCAGACTTAAAGGAGCGCTTACTGCCAACAGCCCTGCTCCTTCTGAAATAACTGCCTATTTAGGTCACCCGCTTGATCACCTACAAGGACTGTGACATGGCCAATGCTTAAGAAGTGTGCTTTCATGCTAATAAATGTGTAGGGGAAAAAACAGCTGCCTAATAAAAGGGGAGTCCAACATGCCACAATTTCCCCCCCCCAGGTAAATGGCAGTTCTGACCAATGAAATTGATGAGATAGAATAGGCTATTGCCCGTGGGAGCTCATATCACAATAAATCTATTAGGATGATGCTCTGGGCATGATTAGTACTTAACTTTACTTCTGAGGGGGCATGTTTCAACCCTGAGTGCTCACTGGAAGGACAGATCCTGAAGCTGAGGCTCCAATACTTTGGCCATCTCATGAGAAGAGAAGACTCCCTGGAAAAGACCCTGATGTTGGGAAAGTGTGAGGGCAAGAGGAGAAAGGGACGTCAGAGGACAAGATGGCTGGACAGTGTTATTGAAGCTACCAACATGAATTTGACCTAACTCCGGGAGGCAGTGGAAGACAGGAGGGCTTGGCATGCTCTGGTCCATGGGGTCACGAAGAGTCGGACATGACTTAACTACTAAACAACAACAAGGCATTTTTCAGATCCTGTCAAATACCTCTCTGCTAACTTTCCATCTTCGGAGTTCACTTCATTTGGCCTTCTCAAAGTGAAAGTATCTACAGTTCTTACAAATAAACAAATCCCAACAACTGTGTGAGGCTGATTTGTTTTTATTGTTCATGTTCTTCACACTTGATGTTTTTCTGAAAGTAGCAATGCATTCCTTATCTGTTCTGCAGAATGCATTCTAGGTCAGAGCTGCCTCAGCATATTGATAGGACTGGAATGAGACTATGATGTCCTGTACTTTTGTGGGGAAAGGCAGTGGCAACAACCTACTCTGACTTTATGCATCTTCCCTGTGGCTTCTTGCATGTGCCTCTCTAACTAAATTGTTCAGACAACTATTTAAATACAAAAGAAGCCTCGTGCTGCAGTGGTTAAACCGCTGTACTGCAGCCAAAACTGTGCTCACAACCTGGGGTTCAATCCCAGGTAGCAGCTCAAGGTTGACTCAGCCTTCTATTCTTCCGAGGTCAGTAAAATGAGTACCCAGCTCACGGGGGGGAGGGCAATGTGTAGCCTGCATAATTAACTTGTAAACCACCCAGAGAGTGCTTGAAGGGCTATGGGGCAGTATATAAGCAGCACGCTTTGCTTTTGCTTTGTGTAGTTAAAGCCTCAAACACTTATTTCAAAATATGTATTCTAGATCTTCACAAGTCTCAGGGATATCCATACATATTTGGTAAATAGGTCCATTAAAGCGATTTTATATTTCTTTTAAAAATCCTCACATGCTAGATTGGGACATTTTTGACGCTCCTGATCATGTTTTGTTGCAGAATTCACATAGAGAGAAACTAATAAGGTAGTCATTTTATGGCATTGCCACCTGCACAATTGTAAACAATGTGTCTGCATTTCAGACCCTTGTCATATATGGTTTGTGTTCTTGTTCTGCAGACCAAAAATGACTGAAACAAAAATTACAGAAACACATCTATTATTTTTTTGCCATTGGATATTTGTTTGTCCTAACCAATGTAACATATAGGGACATGTCTTTTTGGTGACCCATGATCCAGACAAAGTTACACATTCTGGCTGGTACCATTCAGAGATGGTGCACTGAAATTCTCAGTGGGTCCAGAGGATTAAAGATATCTACAAAAACCCGAACCCTGTCTATCGCCATAACCACACAACTAAACCTACTGCTGACCTCTAGATCACTGGAATTCTGGTGGGGACAGAAAATAGGTCAAGAAGCAAAGTGTGCTGCTTTGAACTTGCTCAGTCCAAGTTTGTTTTCTTTTCATCCATTTCAGTGCATAAGGCTCATGGTGAACTGGCTTTGTGCTCAGACTGAAAAGAGTGGTCCACCTGAAGATCAGGTGCAGAAGGGGTGTAGAATCTGCTCTCTGTCTCTCCTTCATTGATCCCAGTACAGACATTTCTTTCTTGATACTAGTAATCTGTTTGGAATCAATGAGAAATCACCAATGTGGATGAGACTTGAGGGTATCAGGGCACCAATGAAGGTCTGCACTAAAGGACTTACGGGGTAAAGATTATGTTCCTCTGCTTTAGCAGGTCACCATCATTTGCAACAAGTCCATATTCTCTAGAATCCTACCTTCTCATTTTATGTGAAGCCAGGGAGACCTATGAACCAGGACTAGGGAGCAACTCAGCCTCTGATTTTTTTTGGGGGGGGGGGAAGCACTCCCTGCCCCTGTCACAAACCAACCTCAATATAAATGCAGCCATTCTCTGAAAGGCCTTGGTATACATCTCTGTGCAATGCATCTTACATCTCAACATCCTACCCTTGAAAATAGGTATTTAGCATATGTGGGGTAGCAAAGAAGTAAGGAATAGAGGCCAAAATCCTGTTGCTTAGCATAGTAAATTGCACTAGGGTAGGTTCATTGAATCAAAGGGAATTTGGTAAATCAATGTTCCATATGTTCCATTGATTCAAATGGATCTACTCTAACTGCACGTTACCTTAGCATTGTAAGTTGCAGATAGAGTAGGCCTTTTATATCAATGGAATATATGAAGGAGTTGATTCAATAAACCCCCATTGGTTTAATGAGCCTACTCTAGTGAGGTTTATTGCTAAGCAACAGGAATTTGTTCAAATTTCAAGTGAAGCATCTGTTCCTTTAAAGAGGCTATCCAAACAGATGAAGCATTATAAATATATGTGGTTATTACAATAGAGTATAGGTGAAAGACCAATTAAGTGTCTATTAGCCTATTAGCAGACTTTAAAACAGCAACAGCAACAACCTCACATGCTGATGATTTTTGTGGGTTTATAGATAGGTCTGAAGTAAATTAGATATTTGCATTCCATTGTACAGATAAAGCTTTCTCCTCCAATTAAATACATGGGGAAGCTATCACCAGTATGACCAACTAAGACCGGATTTGCACTGAACCACACATTAGATTTTTGTGACTGTAGAAGAAAAAAAACAGGATTATGTGGTGGGTCTGCAGTTCTAGTGTATGGAAGTATATTGGCAGGTGCATCAATGAATGTGTTTGTTAAATATTTTAAGAGAGAGAGATAGAAAAGGAGGGCGGGGTAATCATTCCAGATATCCTTTCTTTCATTTTTAATCTGAAAATACCCGTGGCAAATGTTCTTTCTTTTCTTTTCCCCTTTCAGCTGAATTTTTATTCCTCTTGTGGGGTGTTTATCTCTGCTATGCAGTGCGGACAGTACCCTCGGCATTCCACGAGCCACGTTATATGGCTGTTGCAGTTCACATTGAGCTCGTTATATCTGCTATATTCCATACAATTAGGCAAGTTGACCTGCCATGGCATCTAGTTCTTAATTGTCTGCTTTGGAGTTCTTTCCTGGGGCGCAAATTAATTGGGGGAAATGTATGTCAAGAAGCTATAAGTGAAATCTTCTACAAATTTATTAAAAATGATCTCCAAAAGTTGAAAAATATGAGCTCTCTACACATTAATTAGAGATTTTTCATATGGTTTATTGGTATATTACCCACATTAAAGAGGAAGTATAAATCTGAGTTAAAGCTGCAGTCATTTAGTCCCTGGCAAAATGCTCCCGGGGGTAATAAGACTGGATTTCCCCCTCTTTTAACAAAAAAACCTTTACTGTAAAGGTGGCAATATCAAGAGAAAGGACTCCCCCTGAAGATCTCAAATCCTGGAGAGGATCTTATAAGGGGCGATGGATCTTTTCAATATTGTGATCCCCAGTCAATTTAGGGTCAACCGTACTGAAGGCTGCTTTCCACATCTTGCTCCAAATAGTAATTATCCACCCAAATGACCAGAGCTGTTAGGATGCCATATCGGAAAGGATTCAAATGATCAGCTTCATCCGTGAAAGGTTGTAGTTGACTTGCCACCACCTACTCTAATACCTTACTCAAACAAGAACAACAAAAACCCAAAACTGGAGACCAGCTAATATTTATCTAGGACAGTGGAATCAAGTGAGCATTTTTGAGCAATGGGATTCCCTCTGTTTCCTTTAATAGAACAGGAACAGAACTGCCTCTAATCTCAGTCATCCACATAATTGGTCCCTTCTGATAACTTTATATCAGCTGAGAGGGACACAAATCTAAAGATCAAGTGATTGGCCTTAATCCTACAAGCAACTTTTCCACATCCTCTGGCTGAACAAGCTGAAATTTATCCGTTAAAGTAGGACACTAGCAGATACCTCAGTCCTGGTCGTACATTTTGCTTTCGATGCAGAATTATAAAGGATGAATGTAACTTTACTGACAAAGTGTTTTGCAAACAGATCACAGCAAACCATTCCTCACTGTTTATGGAATTAGTACGTATCCATACATCCATTTCTCACTCCATAATCATGGGATCAGAGTTTGGAAAAGTTACTTTTTTTGAACTACAACTCTCAGAATATCTCAGCCAGCATAGCCAGAGGGCAAGCTGACCCTTTAGAACTGAAATGCAAAAAGGAAATTTTTCCCAACACTACAGCTCTCAGAATATCTCAGCCAGCATAGCAAGCTGAGGGCAAGCTGACCATTTAGAACTGCAATGCAAAAAGGAAATTTTTCCCAATGTTGGTTCCATGATGGTGAAAATGGCTAAGAAATCATATTTCTCTACCACCATTGTGTTGGTATAGTATTGTCCTTCAGAGACCAAGGAATAGGTCTTAAAATAGGCTCAGTCACAGGTTTGGTCAAATGCAGGTCACATCTGTCTATGTTATTGATCTATTCATGTGCTCAACCTTTTCCAAAACTGTGACTTCTTCCAAGGCATTTAGGCCTCCCACTCAAGGAAATATCCAGCCCTGGTGTCAGCGTCCAGAACCTGTAGTTATCTCTGTGATGAAATGCCAATGCTGATGCCTGCACCCAGGCCACCATCCCCAGTATGCTAAAGAATCCCAGCTCACAGGCTGGCAGCACTGAGTAAACCTGGAAAGCTGCCATTTCAAATTCCCCAAAGTGCACATGAGTTCCACATTGTGACTAAGTATCATGGTGAGCAACACATATTTGCTTGCTTGCCTATTTTTTACATAAATAAAATTACAATTCTCCTGCTGGTCCCTGTTAGTAGCAAGCCAACTGACATCTGAGGGAGGTTGGCAGAGGCTCACCTTATCAAGGTGAAGGACAATTCAGTCCTGGATCTAAGATTACAATTTTCTACTCTGTTGGGAACTGAGTGCTGAAGGTGGCTTTGCACACACACAGTAGGACATACACTCATGGGCCTAAATCCAGTTGTTAGTCCCAAATAGATTAAACCCATTTAATCAGTGGGATAGAAATCAGTATTGATTTAACACACAGCAGTTAATTCAATAGGTCTATGGTAACTGGGACTAGCAATTGAATTAAGCCATTAATTCTATGTGCTTATTAGATCTTTCTCATATCCATGAGGATCATGTAAATATATCTTTGTGCTGAGAGAGAGAAAAGCAATAATAGATTTGGAAAGTTACTTTTTTTGACTACAGCTTCCAGGGGCTGGGTGATTTTGGAAGCTGTAGGCTAAGAAAATTATCTTTACAAACTCTGTGGGCAATATTGTAGTATTCACTAGAGTATTACAAGACCAACATCTTTATATTTAGTTTTTTTTCCTTCTATAAGTGTTGGAAGGAATATTAAGGATCTCTCATTCAGGGCTGGGGAGGAAGGGTGGAGAAAGGTCCATTTACCAACCTTATGTGAATTCTGTTTTCAGGTTTAGTCTTGCCTCAAGACTTCAGTCTGATTGGATGCTAATGCTGTTCTTTGCACACACACACTCGACTGTGACAGTCACCATTGGGTTACTTCTGATCCCGAAGGTATTTTTCCCCCCTCTATGCTCTTCTCATGTTACAGCTCAGGAGAATTGTGCGTTATGCAGGAGAACAATATATGGATTTAAAAAATTACATTAAACTTTTAAAAGTCACTGGATTTTTCCTTTTTCTGTTAAAACAGCTAAGGGCAAGCAAAGCCCATTTTTAAAAACAGCATACAGCAAAGCTAAAAGGAAGAGGAAGCCCTGTTTACAGCTTATTAGGCAGCTCCCTTTTAAGTGCACCACCTGCTGGGCTATAAATAGAGCTGCAAACAAGCTGCTAACAAGGCTTTCTCTCTTTACCTGTGTGTTCACTTAATGCCGAAAGACCCAAGGAAACTTCACAGTGAATCAATACAAGTGAATTCACATTGCCTTCACTGTGTAGTCACATACTATAAATGTTATTGTCTATAAGATACATGTTCATGCATAAACCCGTAAGATCATCTGACCATTTAATATCAAAAGCATGCAGGAGCCAGCCACATGGAAAATCAGTGATCAGTGAAAATCAGTGAAATCATAGGGCACATAGGAGTATAATTTACAAGTATATAAGCTTTTTCAAAGGTCAGAGATTTTTCTAATAGAATGTTAATATAGCCAATATACAGGCCATCCTCTGGTTACGGGCTTGTATGGCACCCAGCATGTATGAGTCAGCTTTTTTTGCCCAATAGTGTAAAATAGAATTTAAGAGAAGAGTAGGTACATACCCCTTGATGTTCTTTATCTGCCTAGCCAAGTTGTTCACTTTGAAATCTCACCTCCTTTTTCCAGTTTTCCCACTCAAGCAATAACCCCAGAGATGACATAGCTACTGAGGCCTATGAAGATGAGCTTGACATGGGGAGATCTGGATCCTACCTGAACAGCAGTATCAATTCAGCTTGGAGTGAGCATAGCTTGGACCCAGAAGATATTAGGGTAGGTGCCAGCGTTGCAAGTAGCATGTTTTAAATCACATATGTGGAACATCTTCAGCATTCATAAATGATGGCCAGCTCAGTCTAACACACGCGTGAGCACACATGTCAATCATTTAGGCTGCCAAGAGTGAAGATTACCATACAAGGAAATTAAATTCATAATAGAGGAGTGTTTTTGGATGGCAAATTCACAACATCGCCCAGGCTGTTATGAAAAATGAAGAATTATGAGAACTGGAAACCTATAGTTCAAACTATAATGCAGTTAGCACAATATTAGAAGAGGGAAATCCTTATGTGCTGAAAGATGACTGATTGTCATAGCAGAAGCTTTCTCATCTCTAGTATTTTGAAAATCAGCTGGCTTGTTTCATGAAGAGTCCATTGGGGAGAAGCATGGGTTTTGATTTCTTAGTTTGATTCCTCAGGCAAAAATCTCTGTGGAGTCTCACTTTTAATGGTGTGCTATCTGGGTCAGCAAACTTGACTGATAGTATCTTAGATAGATTTCCAATGTGTTTTGGGTAGGGCTTTTTGGTTAGCATTATATGGTCTACAGTCATTGCCACTGCATTATGGTAAACCTTTGAAGGTCTCCTTTGGAAATGACACTATTGGTTTTTTTTTAATTTTAATTTTTGAACCCTGGAATTCCATATGCAAGCCCAGCAGGGGGCTGCATTTATGTTTTCTTGGACATATTTAATTCTGCTTATCATTTCTTTTCAAGCTGTATATGAATGAGAACATTCATTAAAAATACCATAAATCAATGCAGAAGTGGGACAGAATAGATTTATGAGCAAACATGTAAAGGAGACATGGACCAGAAATAATCTGATCTGTCAACGCTTGCACAGAATATTGAATGGTGAAATATTCAGGAAGAAGAGAGTTAGATATGTGATAACCCCCTTTCTCTTTCAACCATCCAGCCATTCAAAACTTTCCAGCTGCTTTTCTCCCAGCAGGAAACCTTTATCTTTTTCCTAGTTGGAAGAAAAGAAACTTAAGGGGAAAAAAACTTTTCCTAGTGGAAAGAAAAGGAACCATCCTGAATGAACAAATATTAAGCAGAAGGAAAAATTAAGCACTTCCTTACCTCCATTAGGCTTGGCGGTGCCGTTAGGTCAGGACTTTGAGCCACAGGTCTGGGCAAAATGAGCATAAGATCCCCGACATGTTAAAAGTTCATTAGTATACACTAATACATATCTAAAAAGCCTTAATTGGTGGAGTTGTACAGTCTTGTTTCAGATCGTCAAGTCCTGATCCGAAAGTACTTCAGTTTCATGGGGGCAGTGATTCCACTCCAGATGTTAGTATGAATCTTATGGGAGCTATCCATGGTGTGACACACTATCCCTAGAATGGGTTTGGCATCTTCAATAGGTCTTGCAACATCCAGACAAAAAACTGGAGTGGGATTCACCATTCCCACCCACTCACCCAGTTCATGGTTACCAGCATCAGCTCCAGCACTGCTTAGGCCCTTTCCTCTTACTCCCATTCTATTGCCATTTCGTTTCACTGAAATGAAGAGTAAAGCCCCACCTGCATCATTTTGATTTCCCTCAAGGCCACTCTTTGACCTGCACAACTGAGGATACATTTCACTTGCTGCCCCCCTGCCACCGTGTCCTTGCCACTGTGCTACACTGCTTTTGACTGAATATAAACAGTATTTACCAATGCTGTCCTTTGCTCTACAGGATGAACTGAAGAAGCTATATGCTCAGCTGGAGATATATAAACGGAAAAAGATGATTGCCAACAACCCACACCTCCAGAAAAAGAGGTGCTCAAAAAAAGGCCTGGGCCGGTCCATCATGCGCAGAATTACTGAAATCCCTGAGACGGTCACCCGGCAGTGCTCGCGGGAGGAAAAGGACCTTCTGGAACATGGGGGTTCAAAGAATCCCATTGGGGCAAAGAGAAACCCACCAGATTCCACTGGACACATCAAGCCAAAGGAGGAATCATTGAGAAACCGAGTCTTCTCAATCAAGAAGTCTCACAGCACTTATGATCATGTTCGAGACCCAACAGAAGAGGTGAATAGCTTAACAACAGAAAGCATGGGAGTGATAACAACGGCAGATAACTCTTTACTAGACTCTGTTCCAGGGAAAAAAACTGAGAAACCTGATGCTGTGTCCACTGAAAATGTCCCTTTAGTGTGCAAATCTGTGAGTGCTCACAATTTAAGTGCAGACAAGAAACCTCTCCACCCAAGAACGTCTGTGTTACAAAAGTCACTCAGCGTTATTGCTAGCGCCAAGGAGAAGACACTGGGGCTGGCAGGGAAAATGCAAACTGAAGAAAGCAGCAAATCCCATAAGTCTCAACAAAAGGGCAAAGAGGTGAGCAAAAAGCATTCGGGCTCTGAAAAGAGTGAGCAGAAAGACTCACACCGAAAAAACTCTGCCCACACAGAAGAGTCAAAGAAGCCCCACAAATCTGGGATCATGAAGCAGCAAAAGTCCAACCAGACCGCTGGGAATCCCAATGTAGGGTCAGATAAATCACAGCAAAAGAGCAAGGTGGATATAGGAGAAGTTTGCCCTTGGGAAATATATGACCAGAGCCCAGGAGGTGGGAACACAGACTCGAAAGTTCAAAAGCACGTGTCCATTGCTTCTTCTGAATCTGAGAAACCTCCTGCTTCCCAAGCAAAGGGCCAGACACATCCCAAGACTGCTGTAGGGCATCAGTTGCCCAATCAAAAGAGCACAGACAGATGTGAAGTTTGCCCTTGGGAGAGCGAAGAAGCACATCTGGGAGAAGAGGAGAAAAAATATTTGAGCCCCAAGGCACAAGATGTTCCTGGGGCAAAACCTGATAATGTTAATAAACATTATGTCAGTACGGATGATCCTAAGGAACTGCTCCCAAAGGCAACTACACAAACCACAGAGAAAAGGTTTGTGAATAAACTGGGACATCAGACAAAAAGTACATCCTCTTCTTCAGCGGGGAATGCACTTCCCTCCGATTCTCCTAGGTCAATGACTAGTAACTCACAGAAACCTTTAGCGTCCCGCGTGGATGTCTGTCCCTGGGAGTACGAGACCCCAGAATTACCGAAAACGGAAAGAAGTATAGCTTTATCTAACGCAACCGGTTTGAGCTCAAATAAAACATCAAAATCCCAGAAGTAAGAGCACTCGGACTAGAAAAGAGAAGGATCAATAGAAGGGAAAAGGGCAGGAAAGCCGGGGAACGGTCAGAAGGACCTGCCGGTTCCAAAGAAGCATCACTTAATCAGGCAATGATGAGCACATTGAATATATAGGAACTAGGCAATGTCAATAGTGTCTTGTTTGTCTGTTTATTGTTGAGTGCCAACAGTGTTATCAGTGTGATCCAGGCCACGAGGAACTCTGATCCCCGCCCCCACTTCCCAGGGCCCTAAAGAGTTTACATTCCAAAATGAATGAAACCATGCCTTTAGAAATTATTTATTTTTTTGTACAATGTGTGGGGTTGGTGGGTAGGATATATTAAAGTACCGTGAAGTCAGGTGGAAAGGTTCTGTGTTGGCTTAAGGTAGGCATTAATTCATCAAATAGGATAAAATCAACTTTAAGCAAATGGATGCCTCCAAATGTGTTAGGATATAGTGTGTACAAACAAGCACCTTCCAGAAACAGAAATGATGATTCTTCACTATCCTGCATCATTATTCTTGATAGCACTGCTAACTTACTGCATCCCCCCCTCAATTATATTTTTATATGATTGCTTTCATTTTTCTTAGAAAAGTATGTACCTTGTTGTGTCTCATATAAAAGCATTCCAGTTTGTATAATGTTTGCAAATAACTTTGATATGATTATGTGACACAACACATTTATGCAATCTGCAGATAATTTAATGTTGCAATCTTTCTAAAAAAGTTCTATATCTCTGTTTATTTCTAGGGTGTACTGCAAGCTTTCAGTGGCTTGGGAAACCATAAGAAAAATACTTCAGGTTCTTTTTCTGGTGGTTTCTGTTGATTTACTCTGCTAATTCCAATTTTGATTTAATGCAGTACAATTCAGGGTTTTTATACGAGGTATGTTTTTTGTCTTGAACTTGTCTGTTTATGATCTTACTAGCAGAAGCTGTCAATCCGGGGAGCTGCATGCACTAATAAATGCCCTGTTGGTATTTATTATTTCTATAGAAACCAAGCACTGTTCAAAAACAAATCTGAGGACAATGTATCTTTTGTTTCTTAGAAAACTGGAGAACATTATTTAGCATTCCAGAGGTATTGCTTTAATCATTCCTCGATGTGATCTTACTCAGTGTTTTTACACTGAGCCTGTTAGAAGAACAGAAAAATGTGGAAGGGTAGAAAATATATTCTGGTGAGTGCACATAGATTCTCTGCAGTGCTGTCAAAATTCATTTGAGGAAGCAGAATTAGACTTGAAAGGTCTTCTTTATCACATTGTTAAACTTCAAAGATCAGAGAATGAGACCTCCCTGATCTTATCTGCACTATTGATAGAATGATAGGAAAATGAAAGCAGCAAATTCCCATTGTTTATTAGTCACTTGTTCAGAATTAGTTCTACGAGATCCTAGGCACGTTTACTCAGATGTAGGAATGTGCACTGTCGTTGAACACATGTGTATATTTGGATTGAATGAGACATTTGTGTGTTTCCAGGACAACGATGGGGTGGCACAAAGAACCTAAAAGCACTCACGGAGTGGAAGGGCTCTCCTGTGGACTCTTTGTGCTAAATCCAGCAGTGGTGGGAATTACAATGTAAAAATTTGAAAGATGCAATGTGATTACGAACAGGGAAAGGGAAGGAGAAACTAAGAAAGATGATGATTTGGCACCAATGGCGAAAAGAGCATGTTCTTTACCTTGATAAATGAACCTTCATTGCCTTTCCTGCTGAGAAATCATGATTAAATCATTAAATTCTGAGTTGTTTCTGAGGTGGCCCAATACCTTGTTCACGATCAGTCCCAAAGATGGAGCAGGAAAGTGGAGCCATAGCACCTGTAATTTCAAATCGAGGGAAGAGGAAAGAAGGGGAAGGTGAAAGGGTGGAAAATGTAGAGTTGACGTGTTTTTCTTCTTCAACAAACTCTTTGTTTTGTTTCTTTTCCTTAAACAAACCTGCTCACTGTCAAGATGGTTGGCAACAGTAGTAGACTGAGAAAGGGCACATAAAGTGAGAAGTTCCAGGCAGTGTGAAGGATGAACAGAGCCCTCACATTACCCTTTGAAGAAGGAGTTGAAGGGGATTGGGCCCACTGCCCTTTTAAAAACTCTCACTCCCTTCACTGTGGCTGACTTAGGAGACCACTCTGTTTTCCAAGGAGATCAGGGCTTTCTCCTGGGATGATCTGAAAACACACAAATACTGACAAGGATACATAAAAGGATTGTTTCCAAAAGGGCACAAAGTGGGGTGGGCACCAATCTCTGTACACTTATTCTTGCGTGGACCACATTGAGGGGGCAGTGCACATTCCTACCCAGAAATAAGCCCTACCGATTTCCATGAGATTTACTTCTAATAAATTTGCAGACTAAAGATTGCAGCTTTAATTTAGCAGATTTTGTAACCATAAAACTAACCACTTTATAGCACTTTTAATGCTGAGAAATACTTTACAGTATACCTTAGCTCCCTAAACCATCCCCATTCTAACCAAGGTTGCCAGGTTCTGACCAAGATTTTGTTGCTGTTGCTTTAACAACTCTGGGTATGTCACATAGCACTTGGGGAGGGTATTTCCCAAATCCTATGCTCCAGCTTCCCAAACGCTGGTCCTGCTTCTTCTGTTACAACCAGGACTTCAGTTTTGCCTTAGAGTATATGCTGGGAGGTGGCTGAATGGAAATGTTGTAGTACTGAGGGGTAGGATCCCTGTCTGTCAGTTTCCATAATATAGTGCAAATAAATAGGCCTAATTCACTGACTAGTGGATATTTTTGGAGAGTCAAGGTTTAGTTCATTTTGGATGAGAGAGCATTAGGAGTCAGAATGAGTGGCACCCTCCAATTTTGGAGGTGCTTTTTTCCCCCAGGGCAGATTTTAGTCTGCAGTAGAGATGGGAGCTTCATATTCATATCCCTAGGGGTATGAATACGAAGCGTGGCACCACAGGTGCCGCAGAGGACCATTCCTTCTCCCCAGAACCATCCCGGTCCACTCACCAGGCTGACGAACAGCTGAGAAGGGAGACTTGTCATCCCATCTCCTCATTGGAGTGATCAGCTGGGCGGAGAGCTGGGGGCAGAGCTGATTGGGCTACTTCTGCAATTGACGTGATGTCTCTGCCAATGGATACGCACTGTGCGCAGCCTGGTGAGTGGACCGGGCTGGTTCTGGGGAGAGGGAATCGACCACAGTGACACCAGTGGCGCTGTGCTTCGTATTAGTATCCCCAAAGAAATGAATACAAACTCCCATCTCTAGGTGGCAGTTTATAGGGGTTATCCAGAGTGCTGAACCTGTTCTGAATAACTCCTGTAAACTGTGGACTGAAGCTGAGAAGACCCCTGAAACTGGAGTCACCACCAGCTGCACAACTTAATGAATAGGGAATACATAGAGGAAAAGAGCATCTCAGAAACTGACATTAACTTCAGCCAGAAACTGTCTCTGCATTTTCAAAAGTGGCTGATTCTCATATATGGTCTTAAATCTCCAGAACCATTCTAGCTTGAAGAATTGGACCTACTCCAAGTCCAGACAGGTACTTTAAGCCCATGGACAAGGTCCCTACTTTTCTGGAATCCATGTCCTACCCGAGATGGTAAAATTTACAACTCCCAATGCACCATAGGCAACATGACTACAACTCCTCAACTCTGGGAGTTGCAGCCCAAAAATTAACGTTTCACTTCTGCAGTCATCAGCTGTTAACAGCTGTAATCATCAGCTGTTAACTTCCAGAGTGTTGACGTGTCTTTCCAGCCAACCAAACGCACGGTGAGATGACAGTCCCAAATTCCACAGAGCTGCCCTCACACTGTATCTTTGTGCCTCTTCTTCTTTTTAATTTGAATCAGCACCATATATGGCATGGCATCATTATGCTGTGTATTACTTGGTTCCTATGGCTAATGTATATGAGGCAGAAGCAGAGAGAGAATTCATTGTACAATGGTGTTAGGTTTCATCCTGGCCTAAATCAGTGGCATTTGCATAAGTGTTGATGTAACAAGCCCCATTGATTCAATGGGTCTTCTGTAGTTGGAGCCAACAACTAGATATAGTGTTTGTGTAGACATAATTTGCTAGAGCAGGGAGTACACACAGATAATATACCATCTTTCATCATGCATAGGCAATGGGCCCTACTATTAGGCAGAGTGAGGCAGCTGCCTCAGGTAGCAGATGCTAGGGCCTGCAAACTTCTATTCTGCACATGCTGCATTAACCACCTGCTTTCCGATGCAACAAAGGACAGAGGTGTCTCATCACCAGTGCCGAGCCTATGTTCAGCTACCCACATGGTCACCTCCTGCAGTCCTTTGGCCTTTGATTTAGACATCCCTGACTTGAGCCCTAATATTGACTTGTTAAAGCAACAGCCACGATATGTGGGCCAGGAGATGGCTGTCTTATGTACCAAAAATTATGCACTGAGCATCACTGGCATTTGTGTTGCATCTCAGTTCATCCACACAATGCTAGATAGATTAGGTGGCTCTGGGGGAAGTTAAAGAATGATCTGAAAGCATATGATGCAGTTCTACTGCTGATGCTAAGCAGGTCTACCTCTGGAGGTACCTAAATGGAAGATAGCCAGGGAACTATTGAGAAGCTGCTCTGACTTTGAAGATGATGAGCAGTGCATCATCTTGAAAACACATTTAATCTCCTTTCCACCTAGTAAAAGGTGAGGCTGGGACTTACACTTTTTAATATTGACTTGTTAAAGCAACAGCCACGATATGTGGGCCAGGAGATGGCTGTCTTACGTACCAAAAATTAAAATCTATGCACTGAGCAACACTGGCATTTGTGTTGCATCTCAGTTCATCCACACAATGCTAGATAGATTAGGTGGCTCTGGGGGAAGTTAAAGAATGATCTGAAAGCATATGATGCAGTTCTACTGCTGATGCTAAGCAGGTCTACCTCTGGAGGTACCTAAATGGAAGATAGCCAGGGAACTATTGAGAAGCTGCTCTGACTTTGAAGATGATGAGCAGTGCATCATCTTGAAAACACATTTAATCTCCTTTCCACCTAGTAAAAGGTGAGGCTGGGACTTACACTTTTCCCAAAAACTGTTGCTAAGTACCCAATGTGGACCCTTTTTTGAGAGATCCCAAGAATGAACGCACTTAGGAGTAATGTGTTCAAGTTAACATGCTGATATTAACCTTGCCACTTTTGCATTAACAAATGGGATTCACCTGATCTTTTGAAAGTAATTCTTTGGAAATCCCATAAAAATGTTCAAAATGGTGCTTTTGCACTATTGCATTCTTCAGCTGCATTATCAGTTGGCATGTTCTCCTGTTAACACAAAAGTAATTACTTTAGCATTAATGCAGAAATTCTAAACACATTAATTCCAAACTCTGCACCAGTCTGGCAAAAGAAACCCTCCAGATGTTGTTGAACTACATCCACCACCACCCCGAAGAGGAGGTATGCTGGGTGGATTTGATGGGAGATAAAATCCATCTGGAGATTCACAGTTTCCCCAGTTCTACCATACAGATGTCTGAGTGTATGCATAAAGAACTGTCTCAGTTCCTGTTTGCTGAAATTAAAGGAGGGAAGCCATTCTGACCTGGGGGAGCTCCATACCTGCCCTGGAGCTTCAACGCTCAGAGCAGATTAACTGCATACATGACTGCTATAGCCATTGTGCATAATGCTCACAACAGCCTTGGCCACAGAGTGGTGGCAGGCAATTTCATGTGGTGGTTTTATATAATGAGGTCATAAACTCTGTAAGAGATATGTAGGAGAAATCATGCACTTTAATCACTGTTTTTCCCATTAATTTCTGATGGAACCTTTGCAAGTGCTGGGAGGAGAACTCAGAGGATTCTTATAATATATGTTAAAAGACAGGAATGATCTAACCTGAAATGGCTGGCCTTTTTCTGCAGTTCCTCCCCCAACATACCATTTTTGCAGCAAGTAGCCTGTATTGGGAAAGTATTCAAAAGTGCTACATTGAACAGTTTCTAAAGCTTTGGAGGTTATGTTTTCCTTGTGAATTACCCTTGTCAACAGAAAACAGCATGCTACGAGGTATTGTTCATGATGAAGAATAAATGGGGTACATCATGTAGGTATTGTTCATGATGAAGAATAAATGGGGGAATCATCATGTACTGTAGGAAAAGGCCAAGAGCAGTCCTCCAGATGTGCTGGACTGTAATTCCCATAAGCCATAACCAGCGTAGCTAAGGATACTGGGAGTTGCAGTCTGATAACACCTGGAAGACCACACATTGCTTGATGTAGTCTTATAGAAGTCCCAAGTAGCATATGAGGATACACATTCCGACCTACATCAGGAATTAATGCAACGGTGTATCTTACTCTTCATCAGCCTCACCTAAGCTGGCACCTCCCAGATGTATTGATTAAGAATATAACTTAGAAATATTCCTTTCTCTCTTTTTTTGCACCACAACCCCCTAGCCATAATGGCTAGCTGGGGGATTCTGGGAGTTGTAATTCAAAAAGCAACATTTAGCTCAGTGCTTTAGGTATCTAGCCATGGGGCCAGAGGTGGTGAGTTCAATTCCCCACTGGGTCTCTTTGGCAGGAGCTGGACTTGATGATCCAAAGGGTCCCTTCCAGCTCTGCAATTCTCTTTATTATTATTATTATTATTATTATTATTATTATTATTATTATTATTATTATTATTATTATTATTATTATTATTATTATTATTATTATT